GTTATCAAACTGATAAGAATGAAAAGCAGTTGTGTAACGCACTTGCTCTAGATATGTCATCTCACATATACATGTATATATGAACAGAGAAAAATATGCCAAGCACAATATATTCCTACATGTTTATGGTAATGAGATGCATTCCATAAAATTCGTCGAAATGCCTAAGTGAAAGTGGTGATATGGTGGTACTTGCTGTGGGGATTCACTTAAAGTTCGACGTAGAAATCGCTAAAAAAACAACGCCTCATATTGGAAATTGAAATGATAGATATGGATGAGTGAATGAATCAACAAGAACAGTTTACATTTTCATACATAAATACATATGAATACTGATTGATACTGATTGATACACATACTGATTGATACAAACAAAATTGCGCGCATTTCTTATAAAAGTTGTCAATATCGTTTTAGATGAAGAAGCATCTATCCACATAGTACACAATTTGTTTCACTTTGGACCTGCGATCATTTACGTTCGTTTAATAATAACATTATTATTATTATTATTATTATTATTACTCTTACTGTCACTATTAATCACCACCAAAATGTCAACACACGCCTTTAATTGATATTATTATTTATTATTATTACACATGGTGATAATGACGACGATGATTATAAAAAACGTTCTTTTCATCTGGCTATTAACACTGCTCAAGGAATGATTCATTCTATCCACAAAATGGTAAAAAGATCCGATCTATCAGAAACACACCAAAAAAAAAACCATCAGATAACTGGATAAACATAATTTGACAAAAGCGAGAGGATGGATAATAAAGGGATTTACTTATTTCTATGAGAGGATGAAGTGGATTGGATAACGGCAATAAAATTGCACTGAAAACGCATAGTACATAGATACATCGCTAACAACCAATTCTGTCATCAACCGTCCACTTCTATGATATCATTGTACTAAACACGCATTCCTCTTTAATATCTCGTGTACATAACAAACCTTTTGCATAGAGATGAAAATATTATACATTTATATCCTATTGAAATTACGTAAACAGACAATTTCACTGATTTAAAAGAATACAATAGCTTTTTTGTATCAATCACTACAAAACAATGACTGCTTGCATTGATTCCAGATTATCGATTTCTTCTCAGATCGAATCTTTTCGGTGATAATTATGAACTATAAAATTATATTCTGAAATTGATTGCCATGAAACTATTAATTTTATCGCATTAATACTTGCGAACCTTTACACAAACCCATTTATTCACTATGTGTGTTATTTATCCGTGTTTTTTTCTTCAAAAAAAAATTCTTGACTTCTCAAGCACCAAAAAAAACAATACGTATGCATGTACATGTCTATTACTATAGCTGCAACTACTTGACGATAAATGAAATTCAACCGATCAGACTGGGATAATGAGTAAACGAGTTCAACGAATACACTACCGCAAACTACTTATTTCAGTAAAATCAAAATACTTATTATGTATTATGCCGATACAAAAATCGTGCACGCGCAATGAACCAACAATTCACAACAGAAGCGCAGTTCAACTCGGTTCGATCTCAATTCAACGTTAATAAAAATTTATTCAATTACTCATTTATATTAGCAATTAAAGAGAAATCTTCTTGAAGCGCTTAATACTATTTTTTCGAAGGGACTTAATGGTATGATATGAAAGCGACCATGATAACGATGCAACAATGATAACTTTACGCAATCAACAATCAATGAATGGATGAATATGTATCATGAGAGAGGTCTACTAATTACTAATATACATTACCACCTCTACGTAGAAGATACCTGTAATGTTGCAGTTGGTGTTGCTGTTCCTACAGAAGAATACTGATGGTGCTGCAGTTGCTGCTTGCTACTTGCATCGACATTATTGTTGTTATCAGTAACCGTATTATCAATATTTGCCGGGAGATCACTTAGTGAATGGTGGTAGTCATGCGTTGTTGCTGTTGCATGTAGATCAGTAACAGAAGGCATGAAATAACAATATAACAACAGCAACAGCCAAGTTAACCACCATTTGAGGCGTCTGCCGGTTGATCGCTGGCCCGAATGGACGATAGGTGGATTGGTTCGTTGATAGGTGCTTGCATGGGAAGATGACAAGAAGGAGATAAATTGAAGATTAAGATGGAAAGATGAGAGACGCAGAGGCTAACGAGAAGAGGAAGAAGAAGAGTGGGATGAATGACAAAAAGACTTCTTGTAGAGGGCAGTAGCAATAACGGCAGAAGCTGGTCGGTTGGTTAGAAAGTGCACGACACGATACGGTAAACGAACAAGAATTGAAATGAGTACGCAATGAAACAAAACAAAATAGAATGAAATAAAATTAAAATTGCTCATCAAATAGAGTTGCTTTCAAGAACAAGCCATGCATGGATGGACGAGTGGAAGAAAAGTGCCGCTTCAACACATCAGTTTGTTCTATTGCGTTCCTACAGCATCCTCATCGCTACGGCTCAATGCTAATCCAGCCAGAAAGAATGCTTACTTGCTGCTTGATAACGACTGTTGTTGTTGTCGTCGTCTTGGAATGATGGTGATGAATGATGAATGAAAACGAATCAACACTGACTCAATGAATGTGACCAATGAATAAAGGTACTATGTAAGTACCAAACCACATATTTGTTATCTGTCTATATAAGCAAATACACAAATATTAACTGCAGATATAGCAAACGTATATCTTTCTATGCCTATCAACGATTTTATTCGGCTCTCTTACAGCAGCTACTACCACGTAGCAAGAAGGGAGATAAGAAGAAAAAGAATGAGAAGGAATAACGATCATGATCCACGAACGACAAATCAACCAATGATCCACGTTTTTAAATAGAACAGTCTCGTTTGCATACGCGATTAATTCAAAAACGTAGGTGGCTATCAATAAAGGATCATATGATGTCCACAAGAGAGGGAGATGGAGGCGGTCAATCCCACATGTACGGAAACGCGAACGGTGAAGTAAAGCGAGGAAGGGGAGGATCGGGAAAATCTTGATGTTCATATATAGGTTACCAAATATAGTGTAAGTGGGTGCGTCCAAAAGCCTACCGATCGATGCCGTCATTCAGATGCAACTTTACTTAGTTGTTTATAATTCGACAGAATTATACCTAATATAATCGCAAACTTTCTCGCATCGGCAACTGCTTATATCTTGTTCTGCTTTGCTAATACACAGTTTTGAAAAAGTACGCCTTAAGGCATTGAACTTTATTTTAAAAATGCTGTTGTTTTAAACAAATCCAATGAATTCGTAACCAGCTAAACATAAACACTTCTAAGATGGGTTACGATCTGTGTAGTAGCATTGATAAATGCTCAAAATTTAATTCAGGGGATCCCGCGCCGAATGTGGAAAAAATATTTTCAACATTCTTTCTCCGTCAGTTTTCGAAGTTGAAGATGGATGTGACGCTAATCGACGTTTATGAATATCCTAATTGTTGGTCATTCTCGAGTTCTCAAAGTTTGCTTGACAAGGCGCATGATACTTAAATGCAATTTTACTTGTTGAAGCATTTTCTCGAAAGAGATTCAAAGAAAACTTCAGACTGACCCACATATCATAACATGTAGATGAGATATAAAATTTTCAATGGTTTATGGTGGCAAAACAGAGCAAGCAACAAACATTTGTCTTTGCAAGCGACGTTGATATCACTCCAGAAATATGATTATCTAATCATATTTAAACATATCAGGTTAAGTTTCAGTCAAAACATTTTTCCAATCACAATTAATTGAGAAGAGTTTAAATTGATGAGTAATTGAAGATAATGAAATCACCAGTAATTAAATTAAGATGATAACAGCGATGGGTCGGGGAATGTTTGGAAGATTAAACGGAAGAGAACGAAGAGAAGACAATAAAATAAACAAATCAACTTTGAGTGGTTGCAGTGAAATTTCGTTTACTTATCGTAGATGCATTTGTCGGTCACCGACCGAAATTTCACTCGGACCGCATCACTATTGAGAAGCGTATGAAATAGGTTTATTTCGAGAGATTTGTGAAATAAGTGTAAAAGAGAGAGAGAGAGAGTTTGCACCATTTGGACGTTCAAATACCTTTCCTTTTTTTATAGGGAGGGGAGAAGAGGTCAAGGCTAGTATGGATGGTTATGGACACATGAGAAGAGAGGGAAGTTTCCGAGAAATCGTCAATTTTTATGCACATCACATACGTATGGTTTCTAAAGTTATGATTATCACGGACCCAATATCATTATTCCATTTAAAAAAATCTAAAATCCAAAAAAATAATGCGACATTAACGACTACTCAGACTGAACTGCTGATCATCTTTCAAACGCATTCGCTGAGCGTAGAGAGTCTATTTGGATGGCGCAATATAACAATAAGAAAATAAATACGATAACTGCCGATTGATATGATCACGCACAAAGGTGTATCTGTCTATTCATATGCGTAAGTATGTACACTCGTAACGAATCGTGATTGATGACTGAGGATGCTAAATTAAGCAACCAATCAATCGATCACATTTGGAATAAAGCTCATAAACAAATAAATAAACGGATGAATACATGAATAAATGAATGAATAAATAAACAAAACATTTTAGGAATAATTGATGGAGAAAAACAAACGGATGCAAAAAAAAGCGAGAGAAACAAAGAAGTGTGAATCAAGAAATCATTTGACTGATTGACGGATGGATAGATGGATAAACATTGCAAACTGTTCTGTTACTGATAAACTATCACCATCGTCACCTAGTGTTGATGACAGTGCAATTAATCAATTATCTGTTCATCCACAAAAATTAACAGCTATGAAGTAGATGACAGACAGGTCGGCGCTTTTAACGATGATGTAACTTAAACGGAGAAAAAACAGAGCGAGCGAGCATTGAATGTATGCTTTTTCAAATCAATGAATTTCTTCAGCAATCTTTTCTTAAAATGATACTTTAAATGCGCCACACTTCTGATTTTATTTACCACTAACAAACAATTAGTTCTTTAATGCAATATCGAAAACAATGATAAAAACTGATTAATAAAAAAATGAACTTATAAATATAAGAGATCGATGCTCTTAGCTAAAGTTTGACATCAATCATACATAATCGTCTTTGTTAACACACGCAAGTACCTTACTAATAGCAGCAATAGCGACAGTTCCATTAGCAGATATAAAGCTAATCAACACAGTCATTTAAGCATCAAAGAAACTATCAATAATGAATAGCAAAGAAATTAATGAGAACGATTATCAATGACAAACGGAAATATTTGCAGCAAAAGGTTAGCTACAAGAAAATGATAGATGTCGTATCAACTATATGTTATTATCTCACTTTTGATGATCTGATTTATAAAAAATCCAAATTTGCACAACGAATGACGCAGCGAACGAATGGCATATTAAATATGTATTGTTACAACAACCACAATAATATTAATAACAGTTATTATCATACTAATAATGATAATAATAATGATTATTATGAGAATGATAAAAATATGAATTGAGCTAGGTAGCGTAAAAATTCGCGCTCATGCAAGTAAAAGTCAGTCATTTTAGGAAAGATAACAATAAACGTTGCTAACTGATATAAACATTAAAAGATATATCGTTATCATTTGGATTGGTTTGTGGTGCAGTGAATCGATGGTATGAAAAGCAATTTGGGAAATATGTTGATTTGACGTTGCGATTATCATTTGAGATTGGAACCGCAAACGAAGCGTCAAACGAACAAGAAATAAGAATGCGAAACGATGATGAATAAATGAAATTTGTTAAATCGTTACGCATCATATCAATCAAATGCAATAAGAATTTATGCATAACCAGCAAATCACACAATATCAATGAACAATAATCGAGTGACAAAAAAAACAAATAAAAAAACAACTAACAGCTGGCAAATGTTGAGTTTGTAAATCGAATTGCCTTCGAAGACTTTCTTTATCCTTTTCAGCATCCTTTAAATGCTGACTGAGATCATCAATACGTCGCTGAGCTTCTTGCAATTGTTCTAATAGCTTATCTCGTTCATCTAACATATTCACCATTAATTGTTCAATACGATTTTGATCGCCACTCATCTCACCACTTTCACCAGATACCTTCAATTTAATCACTTCGTTATTATCATCAATAAAGAACAAGCGAATATCCAATTCAACTGACCTGCGTATGATCAACGCCATCTTCAGATATTGTTGGCATAACGTCACACATCATCGTGCCGTTCCAACTCATCTTTTTACAACAGCTCTTTGTGATGATAGCAAAAACAATAATAATTATACAAATCGTTCGTAGAAGTGACGACGACTGAGGAGATCACTAGGAAGCATTAAAAACAATACGAATGTCGACAGCAACAAAATAATTAGTAATTATAAATATTTGTTGATGATGATATCGTTGCTGCTTTCACAACAAAAATAATCCGTCGTTCGACAATTGACTGATTGATTGAATCTTCACAAAAATATTATGCAAAATCTACGAATTGAATGTCTTCATAAATGGGCTTTTGCTCGAATAGTTTGAATAATCAATGAAGTTCAACTTCGCAGATTGTCATTAATAACAATAACACTGACAGTAACAATATGATGAGCTGTTGCTGCTATGAAGTAAATTATTACAATGAAAATAATTAATTGCGAATACGAAATTATGAAATGATTAGTGGCAGTTAGCTTTGAAGTCAATGATGAATAGAGTGCAGTATTAGTCGAATATTCTGTTGATTATGTCGAGCGGCATTCAGGATGAAAGATTAAGAAATCAATCGCGATCGCGGAATCGATTTTAGAAGAAAATTGCGAATTATTTGAAAGCAGACTTCGTTTATTAGCAGAACAGAACAAAAGAATGAGCAAAAAATTTTATTTCCCAAAAAACGAATGAACGAAAGAAGAAGAAAAGGCGGCAAACAGGAGGGCGGCGGCAGCGACGTCGTTGATGTGAATCTGATGACCAATTAATTGACTGCACACGGATCCGTGCCTTCTCTCTCACTAACGCGCTTTCACGATGTTAAGATGGTGATGACAATGATAAGTTGGGGTTTGTTGTATTTCTTGATCGAAGTTGAATTCGGTTAATAAGAATAAAAGTTGTTGAATTTCTTCTCCTTCTTCTTACTATCGTTGTTGTTTTTGGCGTGCCGACTTTCAACACACGTTACAAATAAACAAACTTATAAACGAAACCACAACTTTGTGGTTTCAATCAATTAATATGCACTTCTTTTATTGTTGTCGATGGTGGTTGTGATCGTGTTCGCTTAGCCCTCTGATCAAACACTGTCGACAATTTACACGATGGGCAGTTCGTTATGTTATTTGCAGAATTCAGCTTTAATATTAATAATAATAACTGCAAATAAAACACCGCTACTAATAAATAATTACTGCCACCTCCGTCGTTTTCGTTGATTCACTTTCTCTGATTCTTATCAACGCGATTGTTTTATTCCTACTTGTGAATAAATGGATGAACAAACTGAAACTGAACAGTTTCTCCTTCAAATTTACTCGCTCAATGATTGCAATTCATCCATTAACTTTCCAGTAAGAATGAATAGTTTCGATTTGATTTCTTATAAATATTTACTTCTTTGATGGATCGTCGTCTACCTCCACAAATACATTATTATTATTGTTTTCGAGAACCGCCAAACTGATGCCGCCAACATCACACCTATAGTTTCAAAACTGAAAATGATTGTTATCAGACCAAGTTAAATCGATCATTTTGCTCACTTCTCCATCGAAATATTGCTTAAATAAATAATATTACTACTATCATTTATTTAATGCATTTTTATTGCCGACAACAACAACAACTTCTGAATATACATCTCACGTCAACTTTGAGCAATGCGTTAGATAAAAGAAAAGAGCTTCAGTATCCCTTCTTCGATTTAACAACGACAAACTACACGAAAACTAAACTTTTCATCGTTATTCATCATCACCTTCATTGTCATTCATTAACGATAAAAGTGATATTCTGATTGAATGTTCCATTACTACGGATGATATTAACTATATAACACAAAGCGATTGCACGATAACAATAATGATAACGATAATGACAACTGTTTACAAAACGCTAGAAACGCCGTATACACATCATAAAATGAGTAAACGAATGGATGGATGAAGAAATAGTTAAGCGCGAATACAACTGCACGTATTTCTATCGTCATTAGCACCTCTTTTTCAGCGAGTTACCTACTGGATCTTGTCACTCGTATACTCATGACAAGATGCATCCAGCTTACTGGCTGCACTATGTTAGCTTCATATATACACACAGATATCATTTTAAACGACAACAGATGAAAACAAGAAGCTGTTTTGGAAAAAAAGTTGTGAAATTAATATTAATAACTGAATGAAATGGAAGAGATAATCGATGTGAACTGATCGGATACAGCACAACAGAATATCATTAATTCACAGGTATAGAAGATTGATGTATCTATCTCTCTTCAGACGAATTTAGGGATGTGTGGATTTGCAGATGAATGAATCGTTGCGATTTGAGTTTATGTTAAAGGAATGGATGATGCATTTCAAAAGTATCTAAACTTGTATGTGTGTATACATGTGTGTATGTGAATATATATGTGAATGTATTTGTGTGTATGTGTGTATATGTGGGTATGTAAGCATGTGTATGTGTATAAATGTGTATGTATTTGTGTGTATATGTGTGTATGTATGCGTGTGTATGTGTATATATGTGCAGGTATTTGTGCGTGCATGTGTGTATATGTGTGTGCATGTGAATATATGTATGTGTGTATATGTGTGCGTGTGTATATATGTGTGTATGTGTGTTTGAGTGTGTGTGTATGTGTGAGTGTATGTATGTGTGTGTTTGAGTGTGTGCATGTGTGTATATGTGAGTGTATGTATGTGTATATATGTGTGCATGTGTGTGTGTTTGTGTGTTTGTGTGTGTGTGTTTGTGTGTTTGTGTGTGTGTGTATGTGTGAGTGTATGTATGTGTGTGTTTGAGTGTGTGCATGTGTGTATATGTGAGTGTATGTATGTGTATATATGTGTGCATGTGTGTGTGTGTTTGTGTGTGTGTGTGTGTTTGTGTGTTTGTGTGTGTGTGTGTGGGTATGTGTGTGCATATGTGTGTATGTATGTGTCATGTGATAAATTCAATCTCTAAATAAACAAAGAGAATCAAAAAAAATCGACTGAACTAATCAACTAGCACTAACAAAAGGAAAGAGCACCATGAGGAGAGGAATAGATGAATAAATGGATGGATGGGTGGTTGGAGGAAGAGTAAACGAAACTTTTGAAAACGTCAAAAATTCTTGTTTGTTTTTGTTGCAGTTGTATAGCTGATGACTTATGACAAAAAATGATAGACAACTTGTCGACCGGGCGATCGACCGGCTGCCGTATTGATTCTGCCAGTTGTGGCAGCTTGTTTGATCGGTTGATTGATTGAGTACGGTTGTGACTAGCTATGGTCAAAACAAACACATGATCTAATCTAGATAAATAAGTGAATGAATCAGTGAACAATTGTCTAAACTGTCTAAATTTAACCGTGAGCCTGAATAAGCAGCGGCGGCATCAGCAGTAAATAGTAGTTAATGCGTGGATTGTTGAATTAAAACAACCACGCATGTGAATCTATCTATAACGAGGTGATAAAGGAGAAAAAGAATGATAAGAAGAAAGCGATGAGGAAGTCTAGATTTCGTATTTGTATGAAAAGGAAAATCGCGATGAAATGAACTATAACAATGACATTAGTATGATTATTTTTACAGTATTCCCAATGCATACCCAGCTTGATGGGTATGCATTTTGTGATTATGTATATGCTTGATGCAATTAATCACGAAATGATTAACTGACACATACGTGTAAGCGAACATGTTCATAATCATCAACAGTTTACACCTTACACATTCAAATTGAAACTTTTATTGCGAATTTACTCTGACAAAGGCACAATACGTATAGCTTTATATATATATATA